TCTTCCTCTACTCTTTCCCTCTGTCTCCGGAAAATCTTTTCCAAGAACTTTGCCACCTTCCTGTGCATCTCATTGCCAAGCAAATATTCAGAAAAACGATCAATTATAAGCAATGCGTAAAAATTATTCAGAGGGGAGCTTCTCTCGAAGACCTTGTTCTTGCTGACAATGAATCTGCAGATGAAGACAGCATAAAAAGTAAGAACACTACACATTGAACTGATATACATTCTGCAGACTTGTTTTAGGAAATATACCGAAAAAATGTCTTAAAATTGAGAATCTACAAAAGAAAAAGTATCTTCCACGCAGAACCATTAACGATTTCTTTAGATCACGATCTAGTATTCACTGTTGAAGCATATGATTTACAGGATTATTATAGAACAATCAGACAAAAAATGAACACTAAACTGTCGTTCTTTTTCCTGAATATTGGTGCTTCATTCATCACCAAGAGTTGAGACTTTATGAAGTAAATCCATCTACAACTTGGTTATTTTCCAATATTGCAAGAGCATAATTGATCAGCTTAAATTCACAATCTTAAAAGGAGGCTGGGAGGCGGTTTACCTAGTTGCAAGTTCCCTTTTTCATGTACAATGACCTGCTGAAACAGAAACACATAAATTATGCTCAATCTTGAAACTAAAACATAATGGGTCAACCTTTAGAAAGAATATGTTATTATTAGCATTACCTCTTCCTGCATTAGAATCATGTCAAGATCTCTATCCTCGCCAAACATCATAGGATCCTTGTCAAAACTCGAACCGTAGTTTGCCGATCTCATAGCTTTATCACTGGGGCTCTCAGGGCTCTTAAAATATCTTATGGACATTGATTCCCTCACTGGTGTTTCTGGTGCAATCTCTGTTTGCTCAGCAGTTCCAGCAGCTCTAGGGCTCACTTCTGTCTCAGTGGCAATCTCTGTACAATTTTCCACTGCAGTCACTTCTAGCTCGGGAAGAGAACCAGCCAGAGGAATTTCTACCGTTTCTCGGGTATTCATCGGTTGCTCAACATCTGCAACAGCTGCTGTCACCTCTACTGTTTCTCGTGCATTCCCCATTCGCTCAGAATCTAAAAAAGCTGCAGGAGTTCTCTTCGTTTCCAGAGAAAAATCTTTCATTTGGCCAGAAGTTCGAGCAGCTTTAGGAGTTTCCATAGTTTCCGGTTTTCTTGGCCTAGCAGACTGGACGGACAACACCTGAAGCTCCATCGGTCTATCTGCATTCAGATTATGATATCATTAGCTGATAAATGACACATTAATCACACACATTGGACCATGAAATTTCACTCACAGGGAATCAAAGGGTCCAAGAAACATTGTGAGAGATTAGCCAAACGTGAAATTCTCCAGGCTGAATGGGCAGTATGAGGGACCTTTCTTCGCTTTGTGACCAATTCACTTGAATTCTCTAAAGATTGCCTCATCACTCTGCAAAAACAGAAAACACTTTTCAAGAACCCTCAAGAGACCTAAACACAGTCAGATAAAATTATGCTGAGGGTAGATGAAGATATGTACTTGTTGGGTATTACAACAGTGTCATCTATCACACATTTCCTTTTCCTTGAAACCCGAGGACCTTCCTTCGCAGCTGGAGTAGGGATAATCGAGAAATGAGGACTTGTTGCTCCTGCAGTTTCGAAGTAAAGATCGATTTGTCAAGTAGTCATATAAGTTTGTTCTACTAAGCCTCCCACGTCTTAAAATGATAACTTTTATGTTCTTTTACCCGAAGCTTCTGGGATGCTCAGCTGAGGAGGCTCTTCAGATGTAACTAAACCCGGGGTATGAGGCTCCTGAATTGATTTAGCAACTTCTGGCTCAGTTCTTTCCCCGTCACCGTGGTCTTGATGGTTCTCTACTCCTTCGTAAAATATTTCACTCACAGGCTCTACCTCACCCGGAGGAGTTATCTCATTCTGACAATTGGTTTGTGATACACCACCAGAGTGTTGTCTCTCAATCCCATAAATCATTTCAGGGCTTAAGTGTTTGTCTGAGTGGAACCCATCATGCCGCATCTTTTCCCTGCTTCCTTCCTCCAGCGTTTTATCTAATTCCAAGTCCTTCTGCTCACTTGAGTTTACACGATCCCCAAATGATTCACTAGGATTCACTGGTTCACTTTCGACCACACAGGGCATTTCTCTGACCGAGTCTCCTTGTTGAGCGCTCCTGGCATTTTCAGCATCTGTGTCCACATTACGAAAAGTATTTAGATGATCTCCAGAAGATTCATCAGGATTTTGTGTTTCCTCTTCAACCATACAAAATGTTTCTCTAACTGCTTCTACTTCTTCTTGAGCACTTCTGGCATTTTCTACATCTATGTCCATATCGCGGGGATTTTCAACCAGAAAATTTTTGTCCTTGATTATGTGTTCTTCTTGAGCGCTACTAACATTTTCTGCCGCTGCATTGACACCACAAGAAGCATCAAGATTATCTCCAGATTCATTAGGACTCGGTGTCTCCTCTTCGATCATATGAAGTATATCTCTGATTGCATCTACTTCTTGAGAGCTTCTGGCTTTTTCTGCATATATGTCTACACCACAAGCAGACCTATAGCTGCAATAAGATATATTCCATCGATGACACATGACAATAGAACCACCAAATCGCTTAGGTATCACACTTACTCACCATTCAGTGTTTTCGTGATCAGGTGAGTAAGTCTCATGAAATGTAACCTTAGAGTAGTCCCCAACATCAAACTGCAAATCCAGAAAACATTTTTTTCACCACAGAGATTTGATATTTCAACGGAAATGACCAGATCAACGGAAGGGCCTCTCAGAGAATCGTTAAGAGAACGTAAGACAAATGGATCAGAGCAAAAATCTCAATGAATAAACAATAATGTGCTCAGAAGATTACCCTTTCCATCGAGTGCTGGCCCATTCTATCACCATGCCAACCTCCCTCTGTTTTCATCACATTGTGTCTCATGTCTCTTATCAATTCCATGAAAGATAAGAGATTAATATTAACTTGAAAAGCAAAACCAATCAAATACCTTTAAGTGTAATATCGTCTTGAGGTTTAACATTGCCCCTGAAAAAGAAGACACAAACAGTGAGACAGAGTAGAAAGGGTATCGCCCAGAACGCCTATCATACTGACTTAACAAGATTACCCGTGAAAATCTTCGAGAATCTCCAGATCAAAAGCATCTAGCTCGAATCTCTTTGGCAAAACAATCCCAAAACATGGTGTGGGATCGGTTGTAAATGCATTTGCCTTTTCTGCTCTGGTGTTCTTCTCCTTAGTCACAAAGTCCTTAACACCTATGAGCATTTTGTTGCAATCATTGAACAAATAATCGACCTTCTTGGAATATATCCGAACGATGCCTACAAGAAGATATGCCAAAACTCTGTATGCCAAGGTTTCCAACTCTTTCTGCAAGATCTCATCTGCGCAGCCGAGACAAACCCAGAAAAATTGAATTATCACACAATAAGAACCGATACAATCACCATAATTAAACGGGAATGTGCTAGAGAAGATCTCTAAAGGACAAGTATTGTACATATCTTTATTAACAAAAGCTGTCCTTTATGAGGAAAGTAGGAAACAAGGATCCGCCCTACAAAAAGACAATGCCTTTCCAAGGTACATAGATTTTCTCTTTCAGTTAAATTGACCACGTCCCATCAACTAGCAGACAAAACATACTTACACATCATACAGAAAAAAACCCAGACGCCACAAGGCTAATAATAGTTATAGCTTCCATAAAAGCAAGACTAAACAATAAAGTTTTAGGTTCCAAGATCAATCGTCAATTATATTGCTGAACCAAAAAATACATGGTTCATTCAAGCATTTCATCATACAATTGATGAACAAAACCTACCTACTTATTAAGGGGCAGACATATCACAATCGTCATAAGTTTTCTTCTTCTTTTTATGGAACTCAATCATCACGAATTAAGAAACGAAAGAACCCAGAAGACATAATGTTGAACTCTGTTTGGCTGCAGGGAAAATACGACGGAAAACCGAAAAAAACAGAGTGTCTATTTCAAGGAATTTCTCACCAAGTCGCAAACCTTCCCTCACTTAAACCCTTCTAATTCGCGTTCTATGAATCTGTCTATCCTCACCAAGAACCCAGAAAAATCAAGACTTTAAAGATGAATTCAAATTTAACAATGCGGAGGAGACAAACCAACGGAAGAAGGAATATCAGTCTCTTTGACTTGGGCTTTCTTGAGCTTTTTGAAGAAATAGGCAGCGACCCATATGGCTCCCAAAGGTCCCTTTTTGGAGACAAGACACTGCGAGTAAAACATTCTCGGAGATTCTGGGATTCAGACAAAAAAAAAGCTTCGGTTTTTATAACAATGGTTAACTTCTTCGACACTGAAACGAGAGAGGGAGGGGTAAGAACGGAGGAGACGAAGAAAGAAACGGTCAAGTGGTGTACCATACAAGCTTCTCAAAAACTGCAAGAACTCTCTTAAGATTTATTTATTCTATTTTTTAAAGAAAGAAACTGAATAGCTAGCACTTCTATTTTGCAAAATTTTAGGTATAAAATAAAGCAAAAAAGGAAAATAGGTAAATTTTTATGGAATTAAATAAAATATTTCTCGTAAAAAGTTCCAAAGTCTATCGTTTCACCTTTTTATTTTAAAAAACAATTAATTAACAAAATATCGTCTTAATTTGGTACCTTTTTATGGGCATCCAAAACAAAATCACCGGAAAACAATTCTTGATATGGATCTCTTAATTAGTCATATTTTGATGTTGTTTCCTAAACAACTAGAATATATATATTGACGGGCCAAACGTTTGTATCCCATCTTAGAAGTCACAATTTATAGTGGATTGGGGAACATAAGATTAATTTCGATTCTAGCATCTGATTTAGTACATATCACTTATATCGTTAGAAAAAGGCAATTTCCCAATCACGTTATATTTTTTTGGTGCGGTAAAAATTTGAGAATATGTAAAAAAATTTCACATTTGTAAACCGATAGAAAATGGCAAGTTGCGTAGAAATCTGAGCTGGCAGCTATCCGAGTATTTCAAACAACCTCCGTAAGTTCTCTAACACGTGGCTGGAAAAACATACGTGTTGTTTGGCTACGGTCATGGTTGATCCGACGTGTCACCTCACCGCTTGTTTTATTGATAGCCCGCTTCCCACAACCCAACCGCAACCGAAACCGCCAAACTCGAACGCGTTTTTTCGCGTTCTACTCTTAGTTTCCTTCATCTTCTTCTTCACCACTCCCCCATCGAAATCGCGTTCCAACAGCGACAGAACCTGCGTTCAGCGGCAGGTTCACTCCACAAGTCTTCTCGATTCGAAGCGAAACCTAAAACAAAATATCCAGTAAATGATGCGAAGAGAAAAATAAAAACTTCTTGGGTTCGAATATCTCCTGGAGATTTTCTCCTCTGATTCTCTCTGTGGCTTAACGCGATGACAGGTCACATATCGGCTCGAAACGACGTCGTTAGGATATCAGGGATGAGTCAGGGCTATAAGGCTCAATAGGCCCAAGTAAGTTTTTTTGGGCTTACTCGAGTGAGAATCTATTTTATATTCTCCATTCGGAATCAACTAGGTCATACCCAGCCCACATAATAGATTAATAGGTATATATTTTAATTAATATTTTATTATAGTATTTTTTTTTATTTTCACCTAAATATTTATTTTATGTTTATAAAATAAAAATATATATTATTAATATTTTTTTTGTAAAAATATTAAACCTTAACTATTGTATATATACAAAACTTATAACTATAGTTTTTAAGATTCGATGATAATCTTCAAAAATATCTGATATTTTAATTTATTAGTCAAAACCCCATCAATATCTAAAAATATATTATAAAAATAAAATCATGATTGCACCGTAAATTATAATTTATGATTATTTGTCACGAGTTAAAATAAAGATTTTCAAGATTATTTTTCATATTTTTATCGTTAGTCATAAATATTTTATCTAGTATGTGAGTGAAGCCCACCATGATCTAAAAATCTATATTATTTGTTAAATATATATTAAAAAAGTAAAATCATGATTTCGCCTTATTTGTAAGTGATATATCCCAAATTCACAAATTTCTAATGTTTACGAATAATTACAAAATTGTAATGATGTCTTATACAACACAATAGGCTGACGTGGAATACTTTGACAGATTCGTTCCCGATGCCCACAAGATCAGACTTTAGTGACGTGCTTTATTTAAGCCTTGATTAGACCCCTTAACCCACATTAATTATTTATTCATTTCTCTTTTAAACTAGTGTTAGTTTAACAATATAAATCCCATATAACTCGATAATTTTCCAAATAAATATATAAATCTTTAATAGCTTTAAATGCATCTATTAAAATCTTTCCTAGAAATATATAAACTTTCAAATTATTATAGTTTTTTATTTGAACAATGATCACGGTAACATATATAAAATTTTACCATTAAAAATCATATTAAAAATATATAAACTTTAAAATTTCCGATCCAATGCACAAAGTTTTCTTCAACTGATGTAATATGTAATTTGATTTTGTAGTTACAAATGCCATAAAATTGTGTTTGATCGGATATATTATTTTTTCTATTGAATTGTATTTTTTTTTCTTAAAATATGCATATCTATGAGATTTTTTCACCAATTATTATATTTTGTAAAAATATTTATGATGCTAAATTGCCAAATTTGCTGACCATTGGACGTGGGCTTCACATTGCATTATATATGTTATGACGTGGGCTTGATCTTGAATCGCACAGCCCATGCCTTCAAAACTACTAAAACATAATTTAATATTATTGATTTAATGTTATTTGTATTTTAAAATATTTTATTGATTAATTCTTTATAAAATACAACACATAATATAAAATTATTATAGATTTTAACGATATTTTATTTAAATATCTGATAAAATATTTTTGTTTTATACGTTTTACAATTCTAATAAATTTTAATGTTTTCCTAATAATGCAACCATCATATGATTCTTGAATTTATAAGAAGAAACACAAGACTTACTATCATTTAAAAAATAAATAATCATAATTACGCATTTGATTAATCTGTCGTCTCTCAATCAATCGGTTTGTCAAATTTGTCGGGGATTTTTTTTTCTAGTGCACATATATAATTATTTGTTTTATTTAAGAAAAACATTCTATAGCCTAGTGGCTACCATACCATATTATAACTTCCAATCCTAGCTGTGAAAAAATATTAAAGAAATAATATTATGGGTCTTGTATAAATATTGTCATTAGGATTTAAATGCTGTCATTTTTTTTATTAGAAATGTTTTTTTTATTGTAGATGATTCCAAATAATATTATACTGATACAAAAAAAAATCAGAAATATTAATACAAAGGTCAAACATTAGGAAAATCCATGTGCTGATAAATAGTAAGGCGTTTATTATATAGACTACCAAATGGTTTGGTAGTTGATATATACTGTTCATGTTCTGATTATATGTAAATGCTGATAAACAAATTACATTAAGTTATCAATCATTCAATCCTCTATATATATATATATATATATATATATGCATATATGTCTGTATATGTATGTATGTTGTCTAATTTATGGATAAATCCGTATTCATCTTTTTCAATCATTATATTTCGTTTTATAAAATTATTCAACGAACAGTGAAATGTCTCTCGTTGAAAACAACGACAAATATCGATTATGACAGATCGTTGGAACAATTATCATAGCTGAATAGATTTAAAGTATTTTACATAAAATAGAGAGTTTTTTATGAAAATAATTTTAAAAAATACAAATATTTATAATAATTTGTGTATTTAAATTATTATAAGTATTCGAATTACAATACAATTTTATATGAATAGGCAATATTTGTTATAAAAAAAGTCCAACACAAATTACTTAGAGACATTCGGATCGGATTTTCTGATATTTTTGGCCATCTGAGTTGGAATATTGATTAATATATTCATTTTAAAAAATGGAATAAATCTAAATAAATGAATGAAGTCGATGAAGAGGTGTCCAACTTCGTTTTGTCACATGTGTTGCATAATGATAAATTACCCCCCACCGATATCGAATAATGCAAGGAATATCTTATAAAAATCAATATAAAATAAAATAATTAGTAACATATTTTAAAACTATTGGAATAAGATTGTGTTAGAGAATTGCTAATATTTTCTGGAGCATTCATGAATATTTTCAAATCAACAAAAACATATTTAAATGTAATTAGCTTCTAGTGGTGAAGAGGTGACAAAGTAATTCTCAAGGTCATGGGTTCGATTCTATTGGTAGGGAGGGATGCAATTTCTGTATTAAAATGATCCATATATAAAGGCTGGTCCCGGACCTAGGGTAGATGTAGTCGGACCGAAGACCTGGAAAATCATCCTGATTATAAAAAAAAAATCTTTCATACAAATTAATCCATCGTTTTTATATGGTTATACATATGTGTATATACTATATATCCGTTATGCCTTGATATGTAATAAATAATTGATTTCGCACAAGGAGAAAACACAAATTTACTAAAATAGTAAATAATTCGATTTTAGGAAATATTTGAATTGCTACAAAAATTTATGATGTAGATAGGGTTCCAATTCTGTATTGTACTGTTTAAAATTTTAGATATTACTAAATCTCCGCACATTTATAAAATAATTTTATTTCTTTTACTGGTTACTAGTTTCCATCTAATGGTCAAACTTTGGATCGCAATCAAAACGGCTTTAAAACTGTCTGCATTAAAATTATTGATTACTACGTGGTTAGGAGACTAATCAGAGAATTAAATAAAGTTTTAATAGCGCCAAAAGGCTGCGGGACCCACCACGATATAAAAGTTGTTTTATGCGAATACCCGAAACGACACCGTATTCGACCGTAGAGTGAGTCACGAAAACCGAGTGGGCTCCGCGTAGGGGGGGACCCACATAGCCCGAAGAGGAATCGTCGGCTTTCGATCTTCCACTCGACAGTACATATCAACGTCTTCTACGCCAAAATTTCTTCTTTTCCATTTGAGCTCTCTCTCTCTCTTGTTTTGATCGGTGTTCTGCTCGTGGATGGGTTCGTGTGCGTCGGTTGATAAGTCTCGGTCTGGTCCCGCGATGAAGCTCGTGGCTTTTGGGACAAGAGCAGATATTTTGGTGATCCCAGAATCGCCCAAGAAGGCGAACTCGGGGCTGGTGGCTACTCCGCCGGAGATGGTGGCGGAGGACGGTGGCGGTGCGGCTGATTCTCGGTGGTCGTTTTCCTCTGCCCAGAAAAGTTTAGGTACTTGTCTCGGAATCTCTGCGTTCTTCAGATGGGTTTCGACTTTTCAGTGTTTTGCCTTTGGCGTGGATGTTTTTTTCGCATAAAGCTGTTGTCTTTCCTGGGGGTGTGGGGTTTCTCAGAAAAATTATATAAACAATGATTACAGTTTTATACACGCCTTCATATAACATACGTTCATCGATTCCGACAGAATCGCCCAGAAGGGAGAACTCGGTCTGGGGGGATACTCCGACGTCGGCAAAAGATTGTCCGATCAAATCTCGGTGGTCGTTTTCTTCTGCTAAGAAAAGCTTCGGTATTTTTCCTCGGAATCTCTGTCTTTTCTCAGGAAAAGCTGTCGTGTTTCTTGTTTTCTTTATTTGGGTTCGGTCGACTGATTAAGGCGGTGTTGATGTTGGTTTCTAACGAAATCATTAGTTTATGATGATCTTCGATCTGTTAGGACTTAGGAGACGTGGTGTTGTGTGGAATTTAAATATGCATAATTCACCTTCATATCATATAATATACGTTCATCATCATCACAGAACATTCTTCACCCCTTTTCCCGATCAATTCTGTTTTTCTTTAGGTGTATGTTTTTCTTGTTTCTATGGACATGGACATCTGGCGATTCATTCATTGGCCGAGTGGTCTGAAAATTCAAACTTTGGGCTGTATACATGAGAGAGAGAGCGAGAGAGATTTTTCTTGGAATTCTTCCATTATTGGTTTCGTAACTCTGAAGTTCTTTTCCTTTTGTTAATGATAAAGCCGGTAGCTTTTTTCTCTGCAAAATGACAGATTTTACTGAGTGGTGGTTTAGAACTAATCTTTGTCTGTAGCCCTTTTTCCCCATCGTTTTAATATATGCTTTTGGGTGTGGTGGGTGGCCACTTGGAACAAGAAAATATGAAGAGAGAGAGAGAGAGAGAGAGAGAGAGAGATTTGGTGCGATTTTGATTCAATTTTGTCAACTTGAACAGTAATGTGACCCATGTCTCATAAACAGTGATCTGAAATCTGAAACTGTGTTCTGTTTTACCGTCTCTCAGGTAGTAGAGAAGAAGCATTCTTCGATTCACAGGCGTGGCTAGAGTCAGATGACGAGTTCCACAGCGTCAATGGCGGTGCGTTTCTCTTCGCTTTGAAATTATATTTCGGTTTTACATTTTGTTAGCACTCTGAATGCATGTTTTATTCTCGCAGATTTCACACCGTCTCGTGGAAACACTCCTAAAAGCGGCAGCTTCTCGGACAGAGTTCCCCGTTTGCACAACCTTACGTTCGAGGAAAAGCCTCTGAGTCCATCAGAGGCTCCCACACCCCGGAGGAAGAAGCTAGCCGAGCTCTTCAGAGACGACAGCATTAGAGAAGATTCTTCAGAAGATTCCCCTGAAAACCAGAGCAGATCCAGCGAGATATCGTCTTTTAACACTCCGTATGTGTCTGAAACTAACTCCAGTGTCTGCAGCGGTGAACTCAGAGCCATTGAAGACTCCGCTGCAGCTGAAGAGAAGGAGAGGAAGCTTAGATCTTTTTCTCCCGGGTGTCTTCCCCGGTTTGCCTCTTGCGGGAGCTTTTCTGATAGGAGGAAGAAGACGAGCCTTGCCGCCACCGTTGCAGTGAAGTGAGCTACATACACACACACACACACGTATATATACATATATAGAGAGAGAGAGATGCTGTATAGAAATAAAGGGTGATGGTGAAGACATGGCTGTGTATATGATGAGAGATCTATACAGGTACTTCCTGCAATGAAGCACCAAAGATGACAAGGGTTTGCTCGGACATCATGTAAATTTGCCCTTTCGCTTATGTAGTAGTTACGGGTCTTTTGCCTTTGAGAATGCCCGCGGGGTTTTGCATGTCTCGCATCATATTTTATATGGCGAAATGATATTTTTATTCCTATCATGACGTAGACGAGACGTGTTAGTTTTAAGAACAATATGTTCTCTTTATTATTATTACAATCTTGCACGAAGTTCAAAAGCTTACATGAATTAGAATTTAGAATATGTTAGGTAGTTTTTGGATATATATATATATATATATTTGTATATGTATAAAATTATGGTTATGATGTCAACAAGGACCTTAGGAGCGAAGCTTGTTTAGAAGGCCCTAATGAATACCTGAAAGAGACCATATAATGATGCAGATGAAGTAAAGCAAGACAAAAATACATAACCGCAACGATAACTTAGTTTCAACTCCAAGCCTCTTTGTTTGCTTTTCGGACAATCCATTATTAGGATTTTTTTCAAAAATTTATAAAAATACATTTTCTTCGTACTGAGCCTGAAAATAGCAAAATATTGATGTACTTATATATTGGTCAAGACTTGCGGAGAACCCAAGTATAATTGCGGACATGCATTTGGTTTACGATTCAAACAAATCATTCACATCACATGATATTTTGGCCCTTAAGCAACCCCCAATCTTCATGCATTTCATTTGCGCATATATACACTAACACACTAACACGGCATTGGCAAGGAAGTGAGTGGTCATTGCTAAAACCGAGAGAGAGAGAGGAGTGAGCGGAATTTTAACCGGGTTCGATTCGCTAAGCCGAAGAAAAATGCAGACGGTTCTGGTGGTTCTGGTTTGTACCGGTTTAGCTATGGCGGCGAGGTTAGCGTCGGCCGCTCAACATGTCGTCGGCGGCAGCCAAGGCTGGGAAGAGTCTACTGATTTTGATTCTTGGGCTTCCGGCCTGACGTTCAAACTCGGAGATCAATTGGGTACGTTTCTTGGAATATGTTTCTTCATTTCGATCTAATATTCACTTCATATAAAATCAAATCAATACGAATACGAATATAAATTTGCTTGTTTTGAAAATTTTTGATGGAAAAAGTTGTCAATATGCATAAACTTTTGATCCAAAGGCGATTCAATTTCAATCATTGGATTAGTTAGCCTAACCGGTAATCCTTTAACCGGCCGGTTTAGTACTCCATCTCCGCATCAACCGATAAACTGCATGTTGTTTTTTTCTTCTCTCCTCGCCAGTGTTCAAATATTCGGGACTACACAGCGTCGTGGAGCTGGGGAGTGAGACGGCATACAAGAGCTGTGACCTGGGAACACCCGTTAAATCCATGAGCTCCGGAAACGACGTCGTTAAGCTCACCAAACCAGGAGCTCGTTACTTCGCCTGTGGGACCCCCGGCCACTGCGACCAGGGCATGAAAGTCAAGGTCAACGTCGTCTCCTCCGACACCGCCGCTTCCACCCCCGATTCGGCTTCAAAGTCGGGTCCGAGTCCCGACTCGGGCTCCAAGTCCGGCTCGAATTCGGACTCTAACTCGAAGCCGGGTTCCAGTTCGGGCCATGGGCTTTGGACTTCTTCTATGAATATGATTATTGGGCTTTTGGCTACTGGGCTTATTTGGGCTTTCTGAGACAAGGGTTTTGAATCAGGATTATTGGGGGGATAATTACAATTTCCGGAGGAAAAAATAAATTTGGGAATTAAAATGGTATTGGTGTTTTGTATGATTATTTTTCCCGAGTTTGTTGCATTTTTTTCCTATAATGTAATCTCTTTTGTTCGTGTGAATTTCCAAGTATTGAATTGAGTTCATTGCTCTTTTTTTTATTAAAAAAAATTGGTTTTAATAAATGTCTAAACAATATTAACACGTTTTATAATTTATGAACCTTTCATTAATGTCTATAAAATGTTGACTGATTTTTTTTTTTTGGCATATACCATTCGTCCTTATTTTCAACTCGAATGATACCCTTTGGAATATTCCTTGTCCTCCTTTCCATGTACTAATGAATTTTCATAAGAAAACGAAAAATATAGCCATAATTTAAATTATTTACATACACTTTCTATTTTCTGGGAATCTAAGAATATATTATAACATCCATAATACACACATTTTCTGAGCTATTTATAAAACCTTATTTTCATCGTGGACGAACTATTTTATAGATCTAGCTCTAAATCAACTCACCCATATATTTGATTTTTGATTTTTTCCAGATTTAATCATAAGTATATATTTTGAATGATCATGTACTTGATTTTCTTTTATATTTTTTGGGTCTTGAAAAATATACAGGCACTTACTATATACTGATTTTATTATTTAAATACCGTTCCTCATGTTTTGCAAGACGCCAAGATCACATTTAAAAAGGACCAGAGAGAGAGAGAGAGAGAGAGAGAGAGAGAGAGAGAGAGAGAGAGAGAGAGAGAGGGGGCTATGAGCCAAGACAAGATTTCTTCTTCAGTGGAAGTGTCAAACAACAATAATAACAA